ATACTTACTTTCACAATGCACTCTCACACTGAGATGGTACCGTTAAATAACCTGGGGCGGTGTATTTGTCCTTGAAACTTTCCAAAAATTCTTGCATTCTTTCACCCCCACCCTAGAACATTGTGTTCGCATAACGGGACGAAATAATGCAGAGCTCGGTTCACACTAGTGCGAAAATAGTGTTAAACTCACCATGTGAAACAAAAGTGAATGAATATTAAACAACATATAAACTTAAAAAAAAAGCCCCGGTTAAGCCGCAAACCGGTTAATCCGCCCCCGGATAATCGAGAGTTGACTGTATTAATATAGAAATCCTATTTGTTATGAGTTATCTCATTTCAGAGAAAGCCATTCCATATTGGAAGAAATATAAGTACAACTCAGATTGGAATAATTTAGCATTAGTAAAGTTTAAGAGGTTTGTTACAATAAAGTGCAATGTAATTCATGCTTTTTTTGGTAATAACAGCATTGCTATTCAACAACTTATTGGTACTGCTCTAGTAAAGCAACATTATGCTTAGAAATTAATCGCACTGACCATTAGTGAAGTTCTTAATGGTCTTGAAAGACAAATTAAAATAAATGCAGAACCCATTCCTTACAGACTTTCTGAAAAATACATTTCAAAGCTAAGTTCACTTTCTACTACCAAGGTGACTAATGGCATTAGACATACATAGTGTGTCCAGGATCCGTTACAACTCATTTTTTTAAATTTTGCCCTCAATGCCATCTGTTGGTGAGTTGTGGCATTAAGATTCTTGAAGTTTCAGCTGTGGTTGTCTATAATTTCAAAGCGCAAGCATTGCTGCATCATGTGTTCTGACCTTGAATGTAACAGTACTGTTCTGATGCTCATCGGAAAATGGCAGTTGAACAGAGAGCCAACATCAAATTTTGTTTGAAATTGGGCAAAACAGCCAGAGAAGCGTATAAAATGATGAAAAGTGTTTACGGTAGTGATTGTTTGAGTCGCTCGAACATTTTTCGATGGTATGCTGTATTTTTTGACAGCAGGAAGGATACTGAAGATGCTCCACGTGCATCAAAGCCGAGAACAAGTCGCACTGAAGAAAATGTGAAAGATGAGACCGAAATCCTTTCATCAGACAGATGTGTTTCTGCGAGACTCGTCTAGGAGCTTTTGGGAATACCAAAAAGTACTGTGCATCAAATTCTGACCGAGGATTTGGGCAGACAGAAGGTCTGTGCCCAGTTTGTACCGCACACGCTGTCAGGCAGTGAAAAACATGCCAGAATGGAACACTGCAAAGACATGTTATGGTCGGCCCCAAGTGATATGAACTTTACAAAATCGATTGTTACTGGTGACGAGACATGGTGTTTTCAATATGAGCCTCTCAGAAAGCAGCAGAGTTCAGCGTGGTTGAGCCCAAAGAAGCCGAAACCAAAGAAAGTGCCCATGCAAAAGAGTCGAGTAAAGACACCACTAACCGTTTTCTTCGATTCCAAAGGAATCATTCACAAGGAATTTCTGCCAGAAGATCAAACAGTGAATGCTGATTATTACCTCAGAGTCCTCAATCATTTGTGGGCGGGAATTCTTCGAATTCGATCTGAATATCGACAGCAAGGTTCCTGGTCGCTCCTCCATGACAATGCCCCACACCACAAATCGAAGATCGTGCATGATTTTTTGGCCAGAAAAGGGATCACAGTCCTTGATCATCCTCCGTATTCGCCAGATTTGCTCCAGCAGATTTCTGGTTGTTCCCAGAAGTTAAGTTGGCGATGAAAGGAGACCGTCACAACACCATCCAGGACATCCAAAGTGAATGTACCGCAGTTTTAAATGTGATTCCACAAAAGAAGTGACTGTTTTCGAAAACTTTTCAATTGATTCCAGCTATGTATTGATTCAGAAGGAGACCATTTTGAATGAAAAGAGTGAAATTTTGAAAATAATTCACGTCCTGTATTTTTAATGAACAGTCCTAACAGAAACTGGACACACTGTATACATATAAACCTCCAACCATCATGTTATGCTTGAAATCAACAGGAGGCATGTTATTCATGGAGATATGAATTCAAGCAGTCATAGAAATATCTAGTTTTAACTACATAGGCCTATCAACTGTCCACCTCAGTTATCCTTCTGGTTTCAGATTACTGTTTCTGACACAATTTTACTGAACTGGTCTATGTGGACATTTTCTATGCGCATATTTTGAAAGAAACCTTCCAAAGCTATATATAAACTAAGTCAGATTCCATTCTTCTATGTGCAGTATATACACAAGGACGTAATGTGATGGTGAAAGTAACAGTCTCAAGATTCTGACAAATTTACATGTTTTGAACCAGCCTGCATGTGAAAAAGTGGTTTTCAGTATGAAGTCTATCAGTCTGCATGGATCTGTGCACCTCATTAGCATCTCAACAGTGGGGCAGATTTTATTCATGTTCAGTGTTCAAGGGTTTTTCAATCATAGGTTAGTGCTCGGTGAATATGAACATTGGAGCTAGAAGCAGGAGCCCTTCAGATGGTCTCAAAACACAAAATGGCAATTTTCTTGGAAACCGCTTTAACACTTTTGATTACATTCTGGCAACTTATGCAAACCATCTCAGTAAATAAGACTGCACAGGTGGTGTCATCATGAAAATAATGGCACTCTCTCTAGCAGCCCAGACATGAAAGGTCAATTGTTTCTTAACCCGTTGCCGTGGTTCGTCGTGTATGTTTCGTCAGGGATTTAAATCGTCTGGGGGGGTTCGACGTGTATGTTTCGTTCAGCTGCACACCTATGTTATAACGCCCATAATAATTGATGGTTTTGCTGTAGATTGTTAGATTTTTCGCTGGCCTGTTGTCAGTAGAACAGAGTATAAATAAGACACGACTTTATCTG